CTGACTGACCCCCAGGGGCTGATGGGTGGGGCCAAAAAGGGTCGAATTTACTGAAATTTCAAAAATCTTCTCAAGACCCAGATATGGTAGAATCAAATGCTCTTCATAGATGGAAGGGTCTTAAGGTTTATGACCCTAGGGTCTCACGTTTACCCCCTGGGGAAGGAGGGGGGGCAAATTTATTATGGTTTATAATGGCAAATGATACTTTGAATATTAAAATTTTGAGCCAGCCCTACCCCCAAGGGCTGTAGGGTGGGGCTCAAAGGAGTCAGTGTGCTAAAATTTCTTCATTTTCCTTGTTAAGAATCAGAGTGGCTAGTTTCAAATCTTTTTTAGTCTGAAATCTGTATGCTAGATATTGAGTAAGGTGGTTTTATTGTATTTTGTCACTTTGAATAATATTTCTGTTCATGTTAAAAACAAAATCAACTCTCTGTATAAATATATCAGGTGACCGTTAAGGCCCATGGGCCTCTTGTAATCTGAGGTTTTACCATGGTATATGGATTAGATTAAACATTTAACGCCTCAAAGAATTTCAATGGTAACTAGGTCTATTTTGATTTATTTAATCCTATGGATATATTTTGCGTGCATATCTCTACTGTATATCTGTCAAACTTTCTGCATTCACTGATAACATCCACATTCTCCAGCATTAATTTCACCCACAAAATGTCATGAGTATCTGTATTTATATTTTCGGTCAGGATAAACCTGTCCTCATTGTGTAGGGCGAAAAAGGTGAAAGTTAAAAACTGCACGCTACCTCTCCCAGTATACCTTACATCATCAGTGTTCAATGAGTCACATGGCATTGGTCTGGTCACCAGCCGGTCGTCAAATCAATTGAACAGCTTGTTTGTATAATTTTGGTCATGTCACTGGTTTGTGTTACAGATACAGAGAGATGGGAGAGGATAAAACAGAAATACGGACCTCCTAACCTGGTTGGACATTCTGCCTGTGTCGTAAGTTATAGACGTTGATATCGTTACTGATGATAAACTATGTATCCTGTAACAATAATCTCTCACTCAAAGTAGATTGGCTTAGTACAGGACAATAAAGTGGCTTAGTACAGGACAATAAAAAGTGGCTTAGTACAGGACAATAAAGTGGCTTAGTACAGGACAATAAA